CCCATTGAGGTTGATATGCCGTTAAACAAAATAAACCAAAGCAATCTAAACTAAAGAATACATGCTCTATTCATACGAATCTATCCTAAAAATATTGTCGGCATTAAATCACCCATTGAGGTTGATATGCCGTAAAACAAAAATAAACCAAAGCAATCTAAACTAAAGAATACATGCTCTATTCATACGAATCTATCCTAAAATATTGTCGGCATTAAATCACCCATTGAGGTTGATATGCCGTTAAACAAAATAAACCAAAGCAATCTAAACTAAAGAATACATGCTCTATTCATACGAATCTATCCTAAAAATATTGTCGGCATTAAATCACCCATTGAGGTTGATATGCCGTTAAACAAAATAAACCAAACCAAACCTTAGTAAAATTCACCAACGTAAATCTTTGTCGAAGGTTTTAAAAAATGAGAATTGTTTAACAGCTGTTTCAGTGAATTGAAAAAGTTATCAATTTCAAATCTTTTCATCTGTACCGACTTCTTAAAATAACGACCAGCATCCATGATTGTTATTTCAATATTTTGTTAAAGTTGTTAAGCTCAAATATTTAACGATGTGATAGGGAATTTCTACGGACATTTTATTATCGTAGAACTCCTCGCCATGTGTTTACGCAATCATTAACTTAAGAATTAAGATTAATGAGAATTTTAAAATAGGAAAACCATAAAATATTCACGAGTTAACGCTATTTTTTTTTACATTTTCAAAATGCTCCGAATGCATGAATTTAAGCGTGCTACTAGATTGGCTTTTAGGTCCCACCCTTTTGCTGTTGAAATAGCTAAATGGAATCGCCACTTCTACTCCAACAGTTTCTTTCCTCGCACTTCCCACCTGTGGATATCCCTTACGCTTTCTTACTTCTCTGATAACTAAAATGTCCAAAAATTTAAATGCAACATCAGTCGTCATTTTCTGTCATCTTGAATTCCGTTCATCTTTTGTCCTTTCCTCCGTCCTCCCTATTCTCAATCTTCTCTTTTACTTTCACTCCCTGTAAAACCTCTGCGCACTCGTGGAATTCGCGCCTTTTTTGGCGTGAAATGATTAAAAGAAATGTAACGTTGCAACACCGATTCTCGTCCGATCAGCGTATTCCGCGTACAAGGTTGTATGAGCGATTGGCGTGATGGATACGGGATCGGAATCCGAACTCAGAAAGCCGAGTTCAAATTCCAGACCGTGTTCATTACATTCACTTACAAACGAATACCATCGGGAATATTATGAATCTACCCCCTTCACCCTCCCTATCTATGGGTTAAATAGTAAGATTTGTATCTGAAAATCATTATTATCTCCAAGAAACTATTAACAGAATATTTACTGGCAAAAAATAACGCATTATTTTACAATGTTTTAAGCAACATATAAAAGGTTGATAATCCGTGAATAAATTAATCAATCGATTCACAAATTTCTGTCCCTTGTAAATGTTTATAAATTTTATCTTTTTATTATCTCTCCTAGACCTTGTTCCGCCATCTATTTACTCAAGCTCGCTAGGTAGATTATGCGGTATTTTTGGGGGGTTTATTTTTTTTGGGTGGGGTTGCTCTGTCCCCCATGCCTTCAATTTGTCCTGTAAGTATCAAATTTTCCTAGCCCTTTATCCTCATTCTTTTCAGAATATATATATATATATATATATATATATATATATATATATATATATATATATATATATCTGAGATGAAGTATGTACACTATTTACATTATTCAAACTATTGTCTTCATCTTTGTTGCCATATTTATCACAACGTTTCGGCCGCTTTACGCTCCCGGCTTCTTCAGATGGTCGGAATTGCGAATTGAACCCTTTATTTCGCTCGCTTTATCCGCTGTACCATGTGTCCTTAAGGACATATGGCACAGGGGATAAAGGCGTTGGTTAGATCCAGTGACAGGACCCAAAGAGTGTGAGTTCAATACCCGGTTAAGGCATGTCACCTGAGGAGATAACTGATAACTGAGATCCATTAAACATGGCACGTGGAACTAGAACAGTCTACCCCAGTTAGCGAAATAAAGGGTTCAGTTCGACATTCCAACCACTTGAAGAAGGCCGGAGCGTACATCGATCGAAACGTTGTAATAAATATGGCGACAAAGATGAGGACAATAGTCCGAATAATGTAAATAGTACTCATTTCGTTCGTTTTCTTTTTATTAATTGATTTGGCATTGAGTGACAAGGTTGGGGTTAGTTCGGGTTTGATAGCCAGGTGTCTCATAGTTGTTGGAAGAGTTTATTCCATTGACAGATTTTTCGGCCCCAGACTGGCTCCTCTCTGAGGGACGCAGCCCTTGCTGACGCGGGTAACGGCCGACCCGGTATGTATATTTGTTTGTAAGCACTGAGATTGTTGATTTTTTTTTTCTTTTGCGTTTTATACTTGACCGGCAAGGGATAATTTTGTTCAAGATAGCAGCTCTAGGACGTAACGTTGTAATAGATATGGCGACAAAGATGAGGACAACAGTCCGAATAATGTAAATAGTGTACATAGCACCTCATCTCAGAAATATAGACAGATTTATATATTTATTTTGTAGAAATATTTATACAGTTATGATCAAATTAAAATCTGAGTACATCGATACATAATGAAATTGAAATATTCATTAGTATGGTAAAGGAATAATTTACTTTTCTCTTTGACAACAAACGGTCAGCGGCACAAACAGATATGTGCGGCACTTTAATGTTAGTTTTAGGAATCCTTTTCTATTTCAACTGAATATATTTTCTAATAAATGTGGTATTTTAAATGGAGAGCTGTTATGAACGCGCGTGTGGTTGCAGTCTCATAATTATCAAATGAAATGCCTTGAATGAGTTTTGATTCACGGTCCGTGAATGAATATATGTCTGTGTGTGTGTGACACATGGAGAAACGGGTGATGCGATAAGAAAAGAGTAATTTGCTACTCACGGTTTGCTTGAAATCACCATTTATTCACAGGAGAACATTACAACATATATTAGAGTATGTACAAATCACGGTCCCAAGTTACTGGGTTGTGTGTCACAGCCGTTGGGACAGGAGAATATATAGCGTCCTTATTGTCTGGTAGCCATGTTCCAATCTGCTGCCTTTTTTGCGCGTCCCGCCTCTCAAAGTCGCGTTGATCACGTGACTCGCGTGGTTTTGACAGGGGCAAACGAGAGGTACTCTGTTTGAAACAGGAAACCATTTATTCACAGGAGAATTGGGATATATTTTTTTTATCCGTCCTAACAATAACAAAATTAGATTTGAAATTTGATCACTATGCCGTCACCGAAACAACGGCATTCGAACTAGTAATAAAAATAATAATAATCAAGAAAATGTTCCGGCTATACACAAAAAAAAAACAACTTAAGAAATATGCTGTGCCGTTGAATTAAAACTACTGTCACTAAATCGACAGAGAAGTGACCGGTTGCTATTGAATTGATCACACAATAACAATAAGGAAAAGACGATTCACTCGATATAAAGTAATTGCTTCATATTGGCCGAAGTTTCCCCAATGCCAGTTACGATACAAATGATTGATTCTTTTCTCTGCCAAGCGTTGTTTGGTATATATAAATGTTTACAAAGGCTGGAGGGGAAGCTATATTCGAGTCAGATTTTGCCGAAAGCAAATCTTGACTTCTCTTTTCCTAATATCATTCCGATAACAGAGACGAAGACATCCCCCCCTTACACTAAGTAGTGTCAGAAGTGGCGCAGTTATTCAACTAAGAAATAAATACGCTTATCGTTGAAAATTATTGAACGAAGCTAAATTGTGGTTTAATGCCTTTCACCTTCGTTCAAGATCTATTATGAAGCTGTCTCTAGCAAGATTGTTTTGTAAACGTGCTAAGAGTTCGTTTTAGGCGAGTGTCACTGTATAACAACGTTGACTAAAGCCAACAAATACCAAAGACCTCTTGACTGATCTTGCAACGAGCTTTTGATTGTTTTTGTTTAGCAGTATATCAATGTTATTTAATGTCGGAATCTAAATAATTTGTAACCATTTTTTTTTCTTTTTTTAGGTAATATTTTTAATGATACAAGTCTTCACTATTTACATTATTCGGACTATTGTCCTCATCTTTGTCGCCATATTTATTACAACGTTTCGGCCGTTGTACGCTCCGGCCTTCTTCAAGTGGTCGAAATGTCAGACTGAACCCTTTATTTTGCCCACTGGAGTAGGCTGTTCTAGTTCCACGTGCCATGTCTAATGGATGTAAGTTATCAGTTATCTCCTGTTAATTCTCTTCTCCAAGTTCTCCACCGCCTTAACCAGGTATTGAACTCACACTCTTTGGGTCATGTCATTGAATCTAACTAACGCCTTTATCCACTGTGCCATATAGACAGATACTGATACAAGTCTTACTAATTAACCCATAGCTGGAGGGAGAAGAGGTGGATTCATACTTTTGTGATGTCAACGAACACTTGTTTAGCACTTTTGTAATGTCAATGAATAGTCGTTCTCACTTTCGTTATACTCTTTGTAGTAAAGTTTTTGTAATACAAATACAATTATAGTAACGCCGTTGAACAATACTGGTGTCAGACGCCTTCGAATATCACTCGCACTAATCGTACTTGCTCGATAATACTCGCTCGGAATGTAACCACCGTATAGAGAAATAGTATAGTGAATAGAATAGAGAATAGCGTTCCGTATAGTAATAGAGGATAGACTAGAAATGGAGAGCAATCTAGACGTCACGCGACTTCCTATAGATGCGGTTCTTCTATGGTCACGTGATCCACTTAACTCAATAATGGGATCACCTGTGTTTGCTCACTGGTGATCTACGTTCGAACTCAAATGTCAGCAGCGATATTTTATTCCTATATAGCACATACCTTTTCCCAAGAGTATTGGCGCGTAAGAGAATATAACGAACCCAACTGGAATTGGAACTCGGCTCTCTGATTTCGAACCATTATTCATTACATCATTGCGCATCGAAGCTTACAGTACCTGGTATCCCTAAGCGATCACCCATCTAGGTACTGATCAGGCTCGGTGTTGCTTAACTTCGGTGGTCGTACGGAAACCCGTGTTTCAACGTTATGTGGCCGTAAGCCGTGATGTCTCGTGAATAACAAAGAAGAAGAAGAAGAAGAAAAAGAAGAAGAAGAAGAAAACATGAGATGATTTTGAAACAGAAATATACAATTTTAATTTAAACTTATTTTATTGCTAATTTTATTCTTGCTTATTATTGTTGGTTAGTCAACGTCGAACCTGGTCAAAATCTAGGTGGGCGACCGATTGGATGTGCGGGTGGTGTATTAGATAATCGTTCGCAGAGACTAGTTCCAATTACAATTGTATAGGTTATATTCATTTATGCGCAAATGCCCGTGGAAAATGGATGAATCCACCTCTTCCCTCCAGCTATGGGTTAATTAGTAATCACGAAATAATTATCTCCCTGAATTTTTTTAAAATTTAAAATATTTTCTGGCTTTAAATAAACCGCACAAAATGAATGAATGAATAAAAAAATATATATATATTTGTTTTTATCTCGATACTCAATTTATTATCACTTTTATTGCAAGTTACATTTCATATTATTACAGGGATTTATTAAAATTCTGGGAGGATAAATTCTTCGTTATTACTGTTAGCTTATTACAAGTTATAGTTAATCTTTTCGTTGCTTATTACAAGTTATAGTTAAACCTTTTCTTTTTTTTGCAAAACTGGATTGATACACTTCTGTGCACAGGCGATCATAGCTCTCCACAACTTCTCATCTCGTATAGCTCTTAACAGTTTTCCCATCGTTCCACCATCCATTAACACAGAATCGTCAGGTAAGTGGCTTGCTGACTTCTCTTATCACTCTTGTCCCCAATATGTCAGGTGAGGTTTAAGTTTCCCAAACCTTCTTTCCTCATTATATGTCCAAGAAATTTCAGCGGGTTTTTCCTGATTTTGAGTATGAATGTTCTCTCTGTTACCATTTTCTTTAATACTTCCTTGTTGATTACTCGCTCCGGCAGTGTCCTTCAAAAGAATCACGTTTCTGCTGCCTCTAGGTTTGTCCACATCCGAAGGGCGATTGTCCAACATCCGCTGTAATAAGAAGTAACCTGGGAATAAAATAAAACGTACGTCAGACATAAGTATTTCATTTAAATATCTTAAAAATAAAAACAAATAATAATTTTATCCCGTATAAATTTTCCTATTTTGCTATTCAGATGAAACTTAATACTTAAGTTGATTACTGATTAAGCTTGTGGCGAGTTCTACAATAAAATATCCGTAGCAACAATCAAAAATATGAATGCGAGTCGTTAAGAAGTAAGGGGGTACAAATGAAAAGATTTGAAATTGAATTTTTTTCCACTTCACTGAAACAGATTTACACACTTCTACTTTCCCTTCTTTCTTTCTTTCTTTCTTTTTTCTTTCTTTCTTTCTTTCTTTCTTTCATTCATTCATTCATTTTCTCACTAAAATCAAGTAGTGTTTCCCCCCTCTCTCTCTCTCTCTGCGCGATCAAAATGGAATAGTCCATTATTTGCGAGGTATTGACAGGGCGTAACGGTCGTCCCGACTAACGGACGGAGGCAAAAGCTCAAGTATAACAGAATAATCTAAATCTACTCAAAGGTATCAGATCCCGAGGGAAACAGTTCAAATTTAAGATGTTTCGTTTATCGTCTAAGAAATACTTTTGTCGAATTCATTTCGTTCTATTTTTATTTCTTTTCGGATCGATTACCGTTTTTCTTAGTTGGGAAGTGACGTCCTTTCTGTCAACCAGGGGGCTTCAGTATCAGTATTTGAGCGAATAAAGCGTGTAGGTCCTAGAGAAGATCATTTTTCATCGAATCTCGTAAAATGGCGCTACAGAATCTCAAACAAATATCTGTAACCGATAAAAGAACCACATTACTTGATGACTTTTATCAACGGCAACAACTAAAGTGTATATTATATGTAACCCAAAGAGACAATAATTACATAAGCAAGATTTTGACGTTCCACGCTCCTTCAAACAAAAGGTTAGGAAGGAAACCCCCATCAATAGTGAAAAGAGTAATAGCAGTTATTGGACTCTATTTTCCTGAAAAATTGTTTTCAGAAAATGACTTTATGTATTTCAACCGGCATTATTACTGGCTTCTTGTTCAATGAACGCTAAATTTGTCCTTATAAGGAAACGACTAATATTACCATTACAATTTTATTTCATATAATGCAAAGAAAAACTATAAGGAGAGATTCGGGAAGGAATTTTTTTTAAAAATGGAAAAAGAAAAAAAAAGGATAAAAAGTAAAAGCGAAAACATTAACACTGATGCCAAATAAGAATACAAAAAGACAAGATTAAGGTGAAAAAAACAACTGCAGTGGAGAGAGAGAGAGAAAGAAAGAAAGAAAGAAAGAAAGAAAGAAAAAGAGAGAGAGAAAGAAAGAAAGAAATCAAGAAAGAAAGATGAAAAAAGAAAGAAAGAAAGATGATTGCTGATAGAGAGAAAGAAGATGAAAGAAAAAAGAAAAAGGATTGCAGATCAAGAAAGACAAGATGAAAGAAAGAAAGAAAGAAAGAGGATTGCATATAGACAAAAACATGAAGAATGAAAGAAAGGAAGAAAGAAAGAAAGAATGGAGATTGCAGAGAGAGAAAATCAAAGTGAAAGAAAGAAAGAAAGAAAGAAAGAAAGAAATAGGATTGCCGATAGACAAAAACATGATGAAAGAAAGAAAGAAAGAAAGAAAGAAAGGAAAGGAGATTGCATATAGACAAATACATGAAGAAAGAAAGAAAGAAAGGAAGAAAGAAAGAAAGAATGGAGATTGCAGAGAGAGAAAATCAAAGGAAAGTGAATGAAAAGAAAAGAAAAGAAAGAAAAAGAAAAAAGAAAGAAAATACATGAAAGAAAAAGGAAGAAAGAAAGAAAGAGGTTTGGAGACAGAGAAAACATGATGAAACAAAGAAAGATCGGACGAACGAACAAACGAACGAATAGATTTTTGAGAATCAGAATAATGCAAAAAGGAAAGGAAGAGAGAGGATTAAATCGAGAGAAACACGAAAAAAAAGAAAGAAAGAAAAAAGGAAAGGGTGGAAGAAAAAGTAACAAAGAAGGTAAAATGAGTATTTTCTTTCATCTTAATATTGATTTAAAAAAAGAAATGAAATGTATGACATAAGTAACCTTTTAAAGAGTAAAAAAAAAGAGCGGAAAATTTGTACAAAAACACGAAGAGTAAATGTCTTCCATATACCAGCTTCTTTCTTTCCTGTTGCCTCTCGCCGCCATATCTCTCCTCGACATTCACAATGGTCATAATTTCAATTAACCGTTCGTAGAACTAATTAGAAGCCCTCTATTATTTGGTTTCCTCCACTTTGGTAACATAAATATATCGCAACGTCGCAGACAGTCTCCGATAAAATGTTCGATTGTATACGGGTGCAGATATTTGTCGGCTCAACATCGTGCAGTCCAATCAAGCCATGGGTTTTCGTAAACAATTTAACCATTTCGCCACCTGCGTTGCCACGGCTCTTAATCTAATTCTGTCGCACGACCGGTGATAATCTCTATATAAACCCCGACTTCCTTGCGATTTCTTTGCCATTTACACCGATTAACAAGGGAGAAAGAGAAGCTAGGGGCGAAAAAAGAACAAAGAGAAAAGTAAGAAAGAATGTTGTCGCGAAGAACAGGAAGGTGTCAGAAACAGAAGTCAGATAAAAATGAGATATAAGGGGAAGGATGAAAATTTAGATGAGGATATGGTTAGAAATAAAAGGGATAAGATGGGAATTGAGGAGGAAATTAAGACATGGCAAAGAAAGAAAGAAAGAAAGAAAGAAAGAAAGAAAGAAAGAAAGAAAGAAAGACATTTTAAAAATACGTGCCTGCTAGAAAGAAAGAAATGACAAAAGGAAGAACACAAAAGAAAGAAAAAAAGAAAGAAAGAAAGAAAGAAAGAAAGAAAGAAAGAAAGAATATGATGAGGTTAAAAGCAGATATTGTTGACTGGTGTGAAAGAAAGAAAGAAAGAAAGAAAGAAAGAAAGAAAGAAAGAAAGAAAGAAAGAAAGAATATGAGAAGGTTAAAAGTAGATATTGTTGACTGGTGTGAAAGAAAGAAAGAAAGAAAGAAAGAAAGAAAGAAAGAAAGAAAGAAAATATAACAAACTTATGAATGGAAAGCAGGAATATTAAATGACAAAAGTATGCGAGAAAGAAAGAAAGAAAGAAATTTTAAAAATACGTGCCTGCTAGAAAGAAAGAAATGAGTAAAGGAAGAACACAAAAGAAAGAAAGAAAGAAAGAAAGAAAGAAAGAAAGAAAGAAAGAAAGATACGCGCGCACAAGAAAGAAAGAAGAAAGAAAAAACGGAAGATATGCGTGCGCAAGAAAGAAAGAAAGAAAGAAAGAAAGAAAGAAAGAAAGAAACAAACAAACAAACAAACAAACAAACAAACAAAAACTGGACATTGATCTATACTCAGCGTGGAGATCCTGTGAAAACGAGAAGACGATAATTATTTATTATCGGCAGACATAATCTTAACAATTTAAAATACACCGATGACCGTATTAAAAGAAGAGTCAGAAAGTTGAAAATAACTCTTAAACACGGTCGCAAGACATCCCTAACTCGCCCGTAATTTCCTAAAACTTACCGATATCCTTGTGTTCTTCACAGACCGATGGCCACTTTAGTAAAGTTCAGCTAATGAAGCGTCAAGTATCCAGAAAACTACGAAGAATCATTCATCAATTAAATCTTTACAAGGATTAAGAGAATTAAGTCGAGGTGATGCTTGTGTTAACATGGCGTATTATTTCCAATGATTATTTTGTGGACATGCAATCTAAATTCAATAATTTCTAGCGAAGTGAGGTTGTTTAGCAATGAAGTACCAAGGGATTTTGCAATGCGACACCCCTTGTCAAAAAAAAAAAAAAAAAAAAACGCATACATCCCGTCTTTTAGTTTCCTGTTAACAAATGCTTCCTGTCTTTGTCAGCGAATTTAACATTTTTAATCTTTTCACCCGAGAGCAAGGTGATAATGCGTCTCAGACGCTAGGGGCTTACTGAGAGTGAAAAAAGATAAGTAGATCTTAATGGGGAGAAAAGATAATAAATGAACATGATTCAGGAAAAGAGAAATCATTGCATTTTAATTTTTGAAAACTGTAGGTGGCAGGTTAGCAGGTGTGGTCAAAGAGCTCCACAGGCGAGAAAAGAAATCATTAGACTAAAACACAAGGTTGCGTCTAGCTAGTTTAACAGTAAAAACGGTGAGACCTAGTTGTCAATAATGCTTAAATGCAGTTGAGGGTCCAAGAAGAAAAGCTTATCAGAACAATTGCCATGAAAATATTTGTAGAAAAAACAGAAACAAGCCACGTTACCGCGGTGGGAAATTGGCCGTTACAGAAAATTCTTTGGAATTTATCATGAATCTCAAGATATATAGCAGCAGCACTATACCAGATATGGCAGCCATATTCGCTGCACGGTCGAATGATAGATTTATAAATGTGCAAAATGGATTAGGACGAGAAAAATGGTCTGGTACGACACAGTGAACCAACTTTCCTATCAATTGACCTAGCAACTGATTCAATATAATCGCTCCTCTTCATGTCAGTAGAAAAAAAAAATGAGACCAAGAAGACGCAATCACTTACTCTCGTGAAGGTTAGCATCAGCCATATTGATGGAAAACAGAAAAGGTTTTTTATGGTGATTAAATGATAGCAATTTTATTTTGGAAGCGTTCAAATTTACAAGTCATTGCCTGCTCCTGTTAACCACAACCATGTGGTCCTCTTCGAGAGTAGTTGCCATATTTATTTTGCCCAATTCTTAAGACTTGTTACGAAGACAGCACTACTGAGAAAGTATGAGGCACAGGAAAATTCAAGAAGGATCTATCAGAAGATATGTGTTATAGTGATATTAATATTATTTCTAGTTTGGTTTGGTTTGTTTTACGGCATATCAACCTCAATGGATTAATTAATGCCGACAAGTTTTCTATTGCTGGTAATATTTTTTTCCGAAATGTATTACTGCTAATATTTTTTTTTCAAAAATCTTTTGCTGGTAATATTTCTTTACAAAAATCTTTTGCTGGTAATAATGTATTGCTGGTAATAATTTTTTCTTCAAAAACTCATTGCTGGTAATAATTTTTTACAAAAAACATATTGCTGGTATTAAAACCAATTTTTTAACCTTTTCATAGCGTTTTGACCCGAGTTTAGGGTCAACTATTTGCCCATAGCTTGGACCCTAACAGTTGCTACCACCTCGGGTGAGAGTAGAGCTAGGACACTAGCAATTCACGGTCCTCAAAACCTCCTGATCAGAGGCCTTGCTGGCGGATGTAGTTTATCGTTTAACCCGTGACGCGGATGTAATTTATCGTCTTACCTAGGTCACCTCATTATTTAGTGGAATGATGATAAAAATGAGAATAGCGCCTTATAAACACAAATCCTTCTCAAACTCTCGAAATATACATATCAGCCCAGTTTTCGTATCCTACAGATTTTATTACATAAATGTTATTTTTTTAATGACTATATTTGAGTAAACGCTCCTTTTATTTAATAATCAGTATATTTATTTACGTTCATCTAATGACTTGAATATTCGATAAATTATATTAAATAAAATATGCGCTCTCCGGCAGGATTCGAACCTGTGTCTCCATAGTCAGGGGAAACCATCCTTAGATCCGACGTGCTTTAGACCATCTAAACCACCAAGTGCGACGATTATCAAGCAAATTTGAACACAAATCTTTCGCAGACTCTCGAAATATAAATAACTGCCCAGTTTCGTATCCTAAAGTAAACAAAGCAATTTCTAAAGAAGTGGTGGATTTTTATTTATTAATCCGACATATTTTATTGCTTAAACGTTTTTTTTTTTTTTTAGTAGATACCCATATTTGAGTAGAGGTTCTGTTTATTTATTAAACATTATTTATTTATTTATTTTCGTCTACCCATCTGAATATTCGAGAAATCTTCGCTTTCCGGCAGCATTCGAATCTGTGTCTCCTTTGACTGGAGAACCCGTCGTTAGATCCAATCGTTGCCGAGTCGCTATAAGCAAATGGTTGATAAGCTGTAGAAAATGAATCAGTCAAACAATCTTTAAATTTTTTACAATATAATGAAGTTATCCCCTAACAAAATGGACGACAGTAAATATTAAATTTCAATTAAGATTTGATGGGAACAAAACACGAATAAATGTTTATAAATATCGAATTGAATATCCAAAGATTTTCAGAAAGAACTGTGGGAAAAAAAAACTTCATTTAAAATATTCATCTGATTTAAGCTCCTTCCAGTTATTATTTATCTGAAAGTTCGCAAAGTCATTTCAAGAGAAGAGTTCTAAAATGAATTCAAAGCATCTAAGAAATATTGGCCGAATCATGAACGGACTGGGTATATATCGAAGGGCAGAGTCTCGTTCGGGGAGGTTGACCAACCCGATCCCTTTTATACTGGTTCTACGGCCTCTTATTTCAGGTGAAAACCTAAATAATTCTAAACAACTAGCGTTAAATGTTTGTTGACAGATGAGATAAGGTCAATGGTTACTATACTGATGATTACATACATCTCTATTTAACAATACTTTTGTCATAGACAAATTGGACAGAACTTTCATTACAATCTGATACATAATGATTCAATATATCTAATTATTTTTACATTAAGAATTAAGTAATCTAAAACAAATATGTAAATAAATAAAAGCAACTTGTTTTGTCCCTAAAAGAGTCTGCCAGACTCTTCCTCTCGTAGAAGCGAAAGAGGAAGCCAGTACATTATATGAGGTTTGCAATTATAATCGTGATTTCATGACCTTTTTTGGGACAGTTTCATTTTAATGTTACTGCTTGTCACGACCTTGTCCGTCATTTGACTTTAAAGAAAAAGGGTTTTCAAACAAATTAGCCATATACACCTTTTTTAATTTGAAAATATAATTTATTTTAAAAAAAAATTATTATTCCAGTGTAGAAAGGTTTTAGTGGTTATTTGAAATCAGGCTTTGCATTTTCTAAGCCATACGATTTACCAAAATTTTTTCCTTGAAAGAAACTCATAGTTTTGCTATTTTATGCTTTTTATCTTTTCATTCATTCCATCAGTCCTCATTCAAGATATCCAATAATATAATCTATGATATTTCTATTTGAATGTATCGTTTTTCGTGACTTTTTCGTGTTGTTGGGCTACAAATTTGCTTCTTGAAGACGTTATGGGGTACAAGCTTTGGTAATTTTGAATATATTTTGTGTTTTGGATTTTAAAAAGTTTTATTTATTAAAAAAATGGTTATCACAGAGTAAAAAAAAAACTTTGGGGGTTGATTTGAAAGCAGTTTTTTTCTATTTTCTAACATATGTCTTTCGTCAAACTTAGTTCGATGAAAGATCCTCATACATTTTATCGCCAGTTTGATACCCTATCTGTTCATCAATTCGATCAGTCCGCATTCGACATATCCAATAATATAATCCATGATGAATACATCTTTTTTCGTGACTCTTTCGTGTCGTTAAGATACAAATTCGCTTCTTGAAGCCATTTTGTGATACTGGCTTTGGCAATATTGAGTACATATTGGGTTTTGGATTTAAAAAGTTTTATTTATAAAAAAAAATGGTTATCGCAGAATAAAAAGACTTTTGGAAGTGATTTAAAATCAGACATTTTTTTCTAAGTCGTTTGTTTCGTCAAACATAGTTCGATGAAAGAACCTCATACATTTTTTACCGCCAGTTTCATACTCTATCTGTTCATCCATTCGACCAGTCCGCGTTCGAGATAACCAATCCATGATGTTTCTATTTGAAATCAATGTATCCCATTACGTCACTCTTTCGTGTCGTTAAGATATAATTTCTCTTCGCGAAGCCATTTTGTGATACTGACTTTGGGAATTTCCAGTGCATATTGGTAATAAGAATATCAACAAAATAACAAAGGCCTGGAATGGAATTTTAACGCGGGAAATGAGATTCGTCTCCCATTTATCAATATGACGAGCAAAGAAAAATCTTGTACAAAACATCCACTTACTTTTTGCTTGCTCTTATCATGATAATTCACTGAAGAAATACAGTTTTTTTTATTTTAAATGCGAAAAGTAATGGAATTTTATCCGAATAAAGATATGAGTACCGTTATAATTTGCAGTCGTTATGAATTGGCATGGGTAGCTTTAAGAACATTCTAAACGAACAGAAAGCCACAAGGAAATGCGTTAAAATACGCATGCGCCAATGAGCACACACACAAAAAAAAATGTCGCCACACACATCTGGCTTGTCCATCAAGTATTACATATTTTGAATGTGGTTTCATAAAGCTATATACAAATACGGCAACAAATCCATCTCTTTACACAGTGGCGCCTGTTATTTCATCAGTGGGTGATACATATATGTGCCTA